CAAGGCGCCAACTTCACAGGTTAGTACCGGACTGAGAGAGAGAGAGAGAGAGAGAGAGAGAGAGAGAGAGAGAGAGAGAGAGAGAGAGAGAGAGAGAGAGAGAGTTCTTCTTCTTCCTCGTCTACGTCCACCATCTCTTCTTCCCCTCTCACCACCTAACCTCTCAGTATCAGCGGACTATGACAGAGAGAGAGAGTTGTGACTTGAGACTTGACGACATTGGATCCAGACTCGACATTGGGATTCAGACATTTTGACGAGGGACTACTTGGGCCTGTGCCGAAGACTTGGTGTTGACGACATTCCCATCTTCCCCTCTTCTTCGTCTAACCCCCCCCTAGTCTTCGTCTAACCCCCCCCTCTTCTTCGTCTAACCCCCCCCTCTTCTTCGTCTGTGTATGGTTGGGGGCTGGCGCATTCTTCCTGTGTGAGCGCCAGACCCCTTCACACCATGGAATGATGATGATGATGTATGTTCAGGGCTGCATTGCAATATTGATTGTTCGGATGATTGGTATCTAAGTCTTCCGCTATGCTATCTTGTACTTCGTATTGAGAGGTCGGTTCTTGTTCTGGTCTGCACCGTAATAGTGTGCAACAGTTTCGGAGGGAAAGATCATTGTAGACTCTTATATGGCCCGTACAGGCCCTAGACGCAGACTACTTGGATTGGTACCTGCCTAGACCTAGCCTACAACTACTGGGCCTCTAAAAATGCCGACTTTTTGTCTTTGTCTGTTCAGCCTCCAGTCCCCGACACATCTACCACTACTTGAGTGGTACCGGCCTACCTACCACTCAAGTGCTTTTCCTGCTGCTCTCAGTGTTGCGGGCCAACTCCCGCCACTTGAGTGTTTTCCCCGCTGCAACCCTCAAAGTCATGGCCACAGGCAAGTACCGGCCCTATGGGGCCTCCCCAACAAACAAGGGCCGTTGCGTGTCACACACACACTCAGACCGACAAACACTCAGGCAGGCACGCAGGCCAGCAAGCTCGCACACACACAGACTCAGAAAACTCTGCCATAAGGACCTGTTTTAAAAAAAAAAAAAAAAAAAAAAAAAAAAAAAACTCTGCAGAAAGCGGATCACTAGCGGATCCACTGGGATTCTCCCGGAACTCCATGTTGAGCAAGCTGCGCCTGAGTGGCACTGCCTCCATGGTGGTGCGATCCGTTACGTTCTGTTGCTGTCTGCTGGCAGTTCGAATGGACTCAATCGCTGATGAAGCGGAAAGAAGAAATTGGAAAAAGTAAAAAATCCCGAAAAACAGAAGGAAAAAAGAGGGTGGAAAAAGGAAAAAATGTTTCAGACGGGTTAGCAAGGTTTTCCTTTTGTGTGTGTTGATGCTTTCTCACCTTCTCACCTTCTTTTTCTCCTCATTTCTTTGCCTCTTCTCCCTGTATGTGTGTGTGTGTGTGTGTGTGTGTGTGTGTGTGTGTGTGTGTGTGTG